ACCAACAAAACTAAGAGAGAGAAATAAAATGGCCCTTTTGTGATATTATAAATGCCTACTACAGCAGAAAATGAATTACCCCTTGGATGGACGAGATTTGTGCTCTTGCAAACTGCGAGCTTAGTTGATCTAGCTTATTTTGTTGGTTTATATCCTGTTGTCTCTCCCAGGATCTCTCCTCCGCAGGAGCAAGAAATTGTGCAGACCGATTACGCCAGTCACGGCTGTCCGGCTGAGAATAGCGACTCTGGCCCTGATTCTGAAGCTACACAAAGGAAAATCGTCCAAATATTTGTGTATCAAAGAAGTTAGATAATAAAAAGAAGATAGAAAAATTAGATGAATTAAAAATAATGAGTTGACCTTTACCAACTATTGTAAAATTCCAACAGATATATCAACAGGCTAGCCAAATAAAATGCAAACATAAATCCAGAAAGAAAAAAGAAGAAAAAGAAAACCAACACAAAAATTATAAAACAGTTTCGTAATAATGGGAAGGAGTGTATGTCATCAAAGTCAAGAAAGAGACTCACATTGCTCTCTCCATGAGCCCAGCTCGGTTCTTCACCAAAAAATTCAGTATCAACTTCTTGTTTGGCGTTCAGAATGTCCTCTGGGATGATAGCCACCTACGAAAAATAAACAGCCATACCAGACCCATTAAAGATGGAATTGAAGAATCATAAATTCTAATCCGTCCCACAGGCAGTGGAAAGAGTATGAACAAAATTATTTGTCGAAGCAAATGGCAGCATGCTGTAGGAGTAATCAATCAAGGGATATCATAAGAATAGTTCAGTAAACATCAAAAAGAAGCATTACCTCCCTTAGCTGTAACAACTGGTCTTTGGTGTAGCGAATCTGATCAAGGCCATGAAATCGGGATTCTCCAGTCTACAATATTCCCAAAAAGACACAAATTACTCGCATATATCAATAATCAGGCAAAGAGGTAACAGAAAAATAGATCGCTAATCCAAACAATAAGGATTTTGAGTTGGGGGAAAAAAGCACACAGGAGGCACGAACTTTATTAAAGTACGAACATTGGAGCAAAAGATATATGCAGTTCTATAATGAGGTTGCACTAAATGGCAAAGCATGGTGCAATCAGTTAAAATTATCACAACCATGTTTTGAATGAATTTACTTAAAAATCCACAAGCGATACTAAAATGCTGGAAGCCCAAAGAATTTGGATGATAATATCAGAGTTCTAAAAAGCATAAAAAGTGGCTAGGCGTGGAGGCCAAGATTCAAGCTTTATGAGCCTAGGCGAGCCTAGACGAGGCATAGGCGTAAAAAAGCATTACTTATTTTATTATTATTTTAAATACTTAATCATTCTAAAAATCATTAAATAATTGAAATAATACATATCAAACATCTAAAATTATAAAATACTACATTTACTTAATAATTCCTATTGTCAATCATACAATTTTCAAATTTTCGAAATGTAAAAATTAGATTATTTTTCATAGTTTCAATTTTCGACTAGACAGATCCTACTAAAAAGATTAATAGGAACTTCATACATACTTTTGAAGATTTCAACAAAACGATAAATCTCAAAATCATGATTATATAATACAGATACCATCATAGCTTAAATCTTATCTAAAATCATTATTGGATAAAGATTTTTTATTTTTACATAGATAAAGCCAGTTAAGAATTTGAAACTAAAATCAAATAAAATTCTTAAAAAGGGGGAAAATTAAGAAAAAAAATTTATAAATTAAAGTAAAATTACAGGTTTTTAAAAAATAATAATAATAATAACGCGCGCCTAGGCGTGCATTAAGCGGTCAACTGCTAATTCTTGCTTGCTTCCAAGGAAATGCGCTTTGTCCGCAC